AAAAAATACAAAAAAAAAAAAAAAATCTTGACACTGTTGCAGAAGCAGCTACGTGAAAATTTGTGCGTAGTTGATTTTAGTATTTTCGCTCTAGTACAGAACAACGTTGAGGCAACAACGAGTTCACATATCTTTTTATGAAAGACGAGAAGGTCGAAACGCAAAGGATTATTATTTCCCTCTTTTCTACTGGAAGAATGCAATTCAGAATAACGTTTCGTACCTGTTACGCGACAAAATAAGTGTTTTCAAATAAATTCGGAGGACAAGAGGCGATGAGTCTCAGGCTTTTCTAGAGCATTCTTGAACAAAGCAGTGAACGGCTTAGAAATGTGATTCGTGTCTCTATTTCATCTATTGAATTTCTAAGAGCTCGCTTCATTGAGTCAGCGCGGTTGAGAAAAGGAACGAAGCCGATGGTGTTTCAATGGGTTCTGTTCCTCGTTACCCTGATCAGTCCATGGATGCTGCAATGGCAATTAATTTTTTAACAGGTGAATCGACTGGGCTCTGAGCTACACATTTCGAGGAGAAAGTAAAAATGCCGGCTTTGTTACTTAATGGCTCATTTATCCATTTTAGGATGGTTTGTTCTGTGATTCTGTGATTTTCTGTTCTGTGATTATCATTCAGAGTAATTATAAGGTTGAAATAATAAAGTAAGTATAGTTTTCTTCTTGATAACTTGCCCGTTATATTCTTATTTTCTTGTGGGCGATACCGCACCAAGTTTCATAAAAGGCTGTATACATTGCACCATTGATGACATAGGAAGAAATAGTATAAACAAAATATGTAGTTTGACGCGTTTCAGATAATATACGTGACAGTCAACACAATCAACTAATCGATTAATTAACCGATTAAAGGGTAACGATTAATCGGGTGAGACGTTTAAATTGACGTCGAGCCCTGCTCGTTTTAATTTTCATTTGCGATATTTTGAATCCATCTATAGTAAGATACGATTTAAGAATGCGCCAGAAACTCCCCCCACACTTTCGCTACCGCCGCCAGTCATGGTTCCTCCGTGATGCGTAAATAGTCCGCTGCCGAGGCGCGTGTTGCGCTGACGTCACTAGCTCGACATTGTTTAGTATACCCATGGAGGTAGAAATTAGATTTCCGGAGGTGGCATGACGCCACCAGAGGTGAAGCTGGGGGAGACTTCCGGTTTGGAGGGACACGCCCCCCAACGATGATCAAAACCAAGATACGCTATACACCAACTCATGTTTACAAACAAACCGGAGCGCCCCTAGCGGACGCCACCGACGCCGTGCATGCGCGAGGGGGTGTGTGGGCAAGAAGCTCGCCGTCGCCCATAAACAAGCCATTGGAATGGGATCTTGTCGGCGTTGGTGTGAGTCCCCGCGCTCTTTTTCGCGTTGGAATTGTTGATTCTGCGTCTTCCTGGCAATGTCTGATTACTTGAGCGGCCTCAACGAAATTAACGAGGCTCGTTACACCGCAAAACTTGGCGTGAATCATGCAATATGCGGCGATTCATTCCGCGTGGACGCCGCAGAATGGACGCTAAAGCCTGATTCACATGGGGAGGTCCAGCGAGCTAGTTTCAGTCATGACGCCGCTCGGGCTGCAAAAACCTGAACCGTAGCTGAGATGTCGACTTCGATACTGAAAATTGCAAGCAGAATCGGACCGAGTGAATCGGGCATAACAAGTTGGTAATGGCCACTGGTAACAATTTTAAACATCCCATTATATCTACTATTTACACCGAGCCTACGTACCCGAAGCAACCTCCAAACCTTAACATCTTTTGAGGTCTGCAATTCTTATCGCAATTATCAGGTCAACGTTTGGTCTACGGCCCGCCATCTTTTGAACGAGCAGATGACAAGCATAAATGTTTGAGAGAGCAGACGATAGCTCGAACGATGAGGTGGCCGTTTGAACGTGATGACGCACTGAACGCGGTCCGCAGGTGGTCCGTGCAACTTGACGTTTTTCCCGCGTTCATGTTGGCACAAAGCAAATAAATCGGACGGCCGCAAGTATCTGTGAATTCAATCCAAAGTGCTTTCTGCCCTAGCATTCGTGGTCCGACGGCGTCTGTTTTTCCTTTTTAACGGCCCCTGTTCACGTTCTCGGACGAACTGAGCAAAGAGAAAACGCATGAAAACTGACCTTCATACCTTTCCCTACTCTTTTGGTAAAGCCCCACTCGCGGCGTTTTGACGAGAAGGCAGTTTTTTGTCCGGTTTCTTCCGAAGTAATACAGGAATGCACGAGCCTCACGGCGGCTCCTGCCAACACCTCCTAGAAAAGAAGGCCGTAGCGCTCTTCTCGTGACGTCACGAAGGAAGGCCATCGGGGGCACGCGTCGAAGCGAAGGCAACGCGTGTGGATCGACCGTCGTAACGCGCTTTTAGTCACATGCGCGTGTCTTATTAGCTAAAATGAAAGCTCCACTTAGCAAGGGGTCTCGAAAATATTTTATTACACGGGCAAAATATTACACCGCTAAATAATCGGTATTAAATGGTACGAGATAGGCGTATAAGAAAAAACACCGAGTCAGGCATTTATTGCTGTAGGAATGGATATTTTACACAGAAATACTTCCCACCAATCTCAACCTTTACTTCCGGCTTTACTTATGATTCTTTCGTTTGGCTTGCTTGAGCCGGTGTGTCGCCTCCTCTTATTCCTGCGTCCATGCAGCGTTGGCGGTAAAGCGCGCGTTTCAAGTGACGGCGTTACCGGTAACGTGCTTTTTTGGGGGGGGTAATAGTAACGTACTCGTTACTTTCTAGATTGAGTAACGGGTAACGTTCTTAAGTTACTTACCTCAAGTGACGGGTCACGTGTAGTTTTGTTACTCGTTACATATTCTTCCCAAGACTTCAAAAAAAGGACACTTCAACTTTTCGTGTTTTTAGGTGCCAAGCAGCCACGTGAAGTTTTTAGTTCTGGGCGTCTTTCTTTGTGTTTTTTTTGTGAGTATTTATGTGAAGCCGTGAAAGAAAAAAATAATATTTTCAGTTTCGACATGGACATAATGTGTCTTGAAATATGGCTCTTAAGCATACCTCTAACGTCAAACAATAAAAAAGTGTTAATTCAGCTTTAAAAATTAAGGTAAAAGTAACGCGAGTTAATTTTTATCGATAACGGTAACGCGTTCCTTTTATTTTGAGGTAACGTGGGTCGGTAACGCGTTGCTTTTATTTGCAAGTAACAAATAACGTATTTCGTTACATTTTTTCCGTAACGCCTCCAACACTGCCTCCAAGCTACCTGCCTTCTCTGGCTGGTCCGCGGGGCGATTCGATGCAGTGGCTGGTACTGTGCCTCATTTCTATAGATGGTGGAAACTTTATTGTAAAATAATAAAAGTAATTCTAAAAAGAAATTTCCTTGCAATTGATTGTTAGGTGGCACGTTCTTGGTTTAGCGTTAGTGGTACTAAACCACTAGTGCTAAACCAAGCGTTTAGTGGAGTTAGTAAATTTAGGGGTGAGTTAGAGTTAGATTTAGAGGAGTTAGTGGTGCTAAGACCACTTTACACGTGTCGAATTTCCCGCTAAATGTAACGGATAAATTAAATTTATGTATAGGTCACGCTAGGTCAATTTTCCCGCTAAATCTAGAAGAAAACTGAATTTGTTTATAGCTCAGGTGACATCACGTTCCGTGACGTCAAATTTGTCGCTAAATTTAGCGGGGAAACTGAATTTCCGTCTAGGTAACGTGACACGAAGCTATGCGACGTCATTTTTCATCGGGATAATTAGCGGTTACGCTTTTTGAGGCTTCGCTTCATTTGAAAACCTAACTATAGCCTACGAACGTTTCACGTTAAAACAGCTATTTCAACACCTTTGGGATACACAGACAGCTTGGACGACGTTGTGCGTGGCGAGACCTCACAATCGTATTGCTCCGCTCAGAAAGTCAGAAGCAAGATAATAAGCCAATCCCCTCGTTTCTTGAGCTGTCGTCGATTATATTTAATTACAAAAGTCATCAAAGTACAGGGCAGTGCCATTGAATGTGTTAACCAAATGCACATCTCTTGGTGTCCCTTTCAAAGTTTAAGCGTCCCTCGGAGATAGATCAATGACAGAGAAATGCAGAGTGCTACATTGGAAGTCTGAACATGGGTTGAAAACGTAGCGTTCCTTGAACGGCCTCTGGGTACACTGCCAGGCACAGCACGCTCAGCGCCGATCACTCTACAGTCTACGGAGTACAGCCAAGTCTTCATACGAGTTTTACATATTTTTATCGCTATTGCTTATTTTTTATGACCTACTACAGCAGCTATTCTAAATCTTCGGTTCAAATATAATGCGGGGTGCTATTATGCGGCTCTATAATTCGCCCGTGGTATACAAATGTATAGTATATTGGGGGTTTGACCATGCACCACTTGGAGTGCCTGCGGTGTTAGTGTACAATCGATAGAATAGTATATGGCTGTCAGTAATTTTTTTGTCTATTTTTTGTTGCGCGTTTAGCTCGTACGCTAATCAAATATCGCTCTCGTGTTGACTATAACTAATTATTCTTAACGTTTTCCGGTTCGGTTTTTGTTTCTGGGTTGAGCATATAGGAGAAAATACACACACTGGACGTTACAAGAGTAAATAAATAAGGATGTTTCGAAAACAGGTGGTGTTTCATAACCTAAATAGAGGTTGTTTATGATTTATTATCCTCAACTCTTCCGCCCCATTTTTCCCGATATATTGACCAAACACTTTGTCGATCTTGTGTAAATGATAAGAGGTGAGCTGCGGATAAAAAACATACAGTACCAGCTATACCACACTAGGTAAGCTATGTCGTAAAGCTCTCGCATAGACAAATGAGAACGCTCTAAGATAAGGCCAGGTATAAACATAACCCCGATGCTTATCGCGCTTTATTAATACTTGAAGAAACAAACCACCGACGCAGTCGATCTAAGAGACAGATGTTGGAATTCGCTTCCAACTGTCACGGATTCCACGAGCAAGATATAAAAGAACCGGAGGAACGGGGGCGGTATCACAGAAGCAAAAAAGCAGAGATCAAGTTATTAGGGAAGTCAACCCTGCGTTCAACTCAAAATGCACTTTTCTCTGGCAGTGTGTTTCGTCGCCTGTGTCGCCTTTGGTAAGCGAAATTATCCGCAAGCGGTACAACATCGCTTAATTTTATATGTTCGTGTTGGCATCCTAAACGCATACGCTCTCGAATCAAAGTATCGCGTCCAAAAAAAAACAAAGGACGAGTCCAAGAAGTTTGGACAGATCAAGCGCTGACTCACAACTTGTTTTACTGTTAAGAAAACATAAACCTGCGTAATCTTAAACATTCCACTGCATTGCTAACATCATTTAATTACTAGTGTATGCACAAAACATTCTATCTCTTTTTTATATAACGCAATAGATGGTGCGCTCACTCACGTGCCTTGGTTGTACTGCGTCGTAAAGAATGCTTCCGTTATCTTGCAAGTCCGTGTGTTGGTATGTCGAGTCATAACCCGCGTCAGAAAAGTTCGGTGTACACACAGACTTATTGCAATGAATCGCAAGGTGTCTACTGGGCGATGACTTAACTGCCAACGCGTGCTCCCGCAGTCTATAATTAATACACTTGCCCTACTGACCAAAGTATACTTTGCCGTATGACAAAGGTATTTTGTATGCAATTCCCATTTCGCATTCCACCTGTTGGCCTGGTCAATGCTGCGAGCGTATGCTCGCAACAATGGCCAGCTTTTTTCTAGTCTAGATGAATGGCATGTGTGTCCTGATTCTTAGTGTACCGATGTTACTCAATAGAAAAGATTTATTCTATTGATCAAGCTGTTAAACAGCTTTTTCCTTCTGTTTCCTCCATTCCTGTATCGAATGGGAAATAAACTTCATTATTATTATTTATTATTATCCTGTTTCAATGCGATTCGAAGGTCGTCCTGTTTCACTCGTTCTCTCGCACTTTTTTTCACTTGAGTATTTTTTTTTTTATTATTTGCGAGCAGGAAATATATGTGATACATACCCTGAGCATAAACGGGCGCGTGAGGTGACCTACCTCTTTAATTTTGTTCCCTTTTTCCGATTGATTAGGTTGAAGTTTGGTACAATCGATATAGCTCTACTACTAATGTTCTGCTCGCCAGGAATCTCACACAACTTGTTCATTAGGGGACTATACAGGACATTTTATTTTATTTCGAACATATTCTTTTTTAATAGAAGGTGAGTGTTAGACGAGTTAACTCTTCACCATGTATTCATATTGTTTGACGAACATTAGATGAGGGGATAATCGTCATGCTAAGTTGACTAATGAAGTTCTTAATTATTGGCTGTAGGGGTCACGTTGTGATTGCGGTATTGACTGCAATTACTATTAAAAGCCAGACCAATTTAAACATTTGCGAAAAGGTAGTGGTTTTCAAGTTATTAAGCAACATCGTCATTTCAATCATGTCGTCACTATCTCGGCAGCGTGTCCTTGATAGGTGCGCCGCCGACACAAGTGACGACGTAGCCTAAACAACTACTTGACTCTTCCAAGCTTCATCCTGGGCCAGGCTTGATGCGCTCTTTTTGCGTGCAATCTTTAGATCGAGCGAAATAGACGCTAAAATTGATAGAATAATATTTTAAGAACCATTACCTTTCTGCGTGTTCTTTGCATTGGTATGGCCTCTAATCGTACTTGCCGTTAATACTCGAAATCAAACATGACCCTTAAACCAATAGCTCAAAAGTTAAGAAATTTTACATAATTATTCAACTTACCCTGACGATTATCCCCTCATCTAATAATACATGGGGAAGGCGGCACTCGTGTAACTCTCACCCCCTTTCTTCTAAAAAAATCTGCCTAAATCAAAAATCAAATTTAAATACCGTGCCAATTTAAATTGGTACGGAATTATGGTTATATCTCTGGTGCGGTGTTTGTGCCTTCTTTCTGTCTTGTAACAAAAATTCTATAGCGATCACGTCATCGGTTTCCTAAAGGCGGTGCGACAAGACTCCAGGTTATGAACAATTTGTTTTCCTGTGTCGATGAGGCTTTTTTGTGATCAGAAGCATAGCCAAAATCAAGTAGTGTCATATACTTCTTTTTTCATGCTTCAATTTTAGTTAGTTACTGAGCGCAGGGAGAGTTCAGAACATCATCTTATCGTTATTCATCCAATGAGACTCGAGTATTAACCCGTAAGAACAGGTGAGATGAAATCACGAAGAAAAAGAAGCCACACCCTGCGGATGACAGTGGTTTTATATAGGCAGGCTGGCGGACCGGCATTGTAATTCTTTTTATTGTCTCGAGGTCATGCCCGAAGAATCGAGTTGTCGAAGAATCGTTGCAATAACTGGGATAACCTCAAAGCTACTTGTTGTCACATCAAGACAAAAAAAAAAAAAAAAATGGACGCCTTGCACATTATTCATGCGCTGCGCGAAGTACTCCTATGATATTGCTGCTTGAAACGTGTACGTCTTGATACAATAACGTAAAGCTAATCTAAGATGTACATAATAATACGTATTTTAATTCGACGCAGCGCGGGGGAAATTAGTCACCTTTCGCGAGGATTCGGATTCTTTTTTTTTTTTACTATGGTTTTTGAGGCGAATACGAGTAGATGAGGACGTTCATTGTTTCTTAATTTCCTGGGTGCCTGGTAAAATGTAAAGCAGCAGATTTCGCGAAAATGAACCGCTGTCTTAACGTAGCAATGTTCCAGTCACGGTTTAAGATAGGCAGGTGGGGAAACGAGGCAGAAAGCATAAACATAACAAGCTCGGCGGTTTTTTTTTTTGTCCAGCGTTGTGCTTTTTTTTCCGTTTCCTTTTTTTAGTGAGTAACAGCGCCAAGATTTCGGTTAGTTTTCAAAGGAACACATAAACAAAGTGTCAATTGGTGACAAATACTTTTTTCTTTTTTTTTTTACTTTTATTCAGCGACGACGCATGCCTGGGTCGAAAATGAGCTGGAGGAGGAGTACCGTGGCGTGGATTTCGACCAGGGTTGTCGGCCGGCCCCCGTGAGCGGACTGTGCAGGGCTTATTTCGAGCGCTGGTACTTCGACGTGAACACGGGAAGCTGCGAGCGGTTCGTGTACGGAGGCTGCGGAGGCAACGCCAACAACTACAGGTCGCAGCGGGAGTGCGAAGTCGCCTGCCTGCGTACGTCCCTTGGGAAAGGCGCAGTCATACTGCTTGTACATCATACAAAATGACGAAGACGGATGACGATGATGATGATGATGATGAGGAGCAGGATGACATAATTATCCGCGGACACGATCTTAAGCATGTTGGAAGTATGTTTGCTTCATACGTGTGTATGTTTAGAACATGCCTGCAGACAGCTTTTTATGGCCAATGTGACAGGTCATATAAGGATTGGATTGAAGTCTGCGGCTCTCCCCTTTGTATCGGGTGATCAACAGTAATGGATACTAGATCTAGCCTAGGCAGTCGCGCCTCCCGCGACTTCCGCTTCCGCTTGGTGTTCCGCTGGTCGGTTGCACTCTTTCCGCAAATTAGTCTCTCTGCACCAAACCTCCAGCCGCCTTTTCGTCACGTCTACCGCCGATCGAACTTTCTTTTGTTCTTCCTCTCCACGCTCTGCACCGATTCGGATACCCAGCGCTACTGGTAGCGCCGTTGTACTAGGAACCGTACAATGTGCCGGTACTGCAGCACTAGGTGCTCCGTCGTCTCGTCGGTCTGCCCGCAGACTGTGCACGTCCTTCCTGTCTCCCCTTGAACCTGGCCCTCCACACCTGGGTACGTAATGTACCCATGCGTACCTCTGCGAGGAGTCCACTGCCCGTCGAGTTGTCGTACCAGGGCTCTTTCCTTATGGCCTCCTTCTCCGTGTAGTACATCGCGAGGGACGGCTTCACCGCCGCTCCCGCTCTCCATCTCTCCGTCTCCACTGCTCGGATGCCCTTGCTGATTGCCGCTTGGCCCTCCCGGTTCTCGCCCGCTGACTCCAGCCATATCGGTTCTAACCCATAGCGGTCCCGTAGCCTTCGGAGGCGGTGCATCCCTTTGGTGCCTCTTTCCTAGTATATCATGTCGCAGGGTGCGGTGGGCCCAATTCCCATCCGGGAGTCTGTGCATTCTCCTCTCGTACAGTGCCTTTGCACTGACTTCTCTGGCTTCGAAGGACGACCAGCCTAGGTCCCCCTGGACACTACCGTTGAGTGCTGTTCTCAGGACTGCCAAGGCCATTCTTCCCCCATCCCTCTGTCTTCTCTCCAGGAATTCTCTTGTTTGCGATGAGAGGACGAGTACACCAGTTGCGTACGTGCCATCGTCCATAGCCCCCGCACCACCTCGAACCTGTTGAAGGTCCAGGTGGTCTTCTTCGCCAAGACTCCTTTCCCCCTTATCGCTTCCAGTCTCTTCTCCCGTTCATAAATCTTCAAGTAGTCGGACTCCGCAGCCAGGGTCACTCCCAAGTATTTGACCGTGTTTTGTCTTGTCAACTTCCCTCCCTGCAGGTGCACTATTGTTCCTCTGGTTCCTGATTCGGCCCATCTCGATCCCCCCAGACTAAGACCGCATTCTTGCTCTGGTTGGAACGGAGTCTAAGGTGCGTGGCGAACTCCCCGCAGATGTCCAGAAGCACCTGGAGGTCCTCCAGCGAGTCGGCAAGACGCACCACATCATCGGCGTAAATGAGGGCCGGTATTCTCTGCCGCTTCCAAGCTCCCTCCATTCTGTATGATAGGCCGAAGCCCACAACAGACTGCTCCAGTGCTTTCTCCAACGGTGCTACATGCAACATAAATAGCAAGGGGGATAGTGCGCATCCTTGCCTCAGGCCCCTGGGTACTGGTAGACGTTGGGTCGTGTGGCCCTCCCACTCAATCCGCACCGAAACACTATCACACAGTACCTGCAGCAGATTCACGTCTGCCTCGTTTATTCCTAGCCCTCGAAGTCGACTGCAGAGTATGTTCCGGTCCACCGTGTCGTATGCCTTGGAAATGTCCAGGAACGCTGCGTAAAGTGGTCTGCCCTCCTGGGCTGCCACTTCAATGCACAGAGTTACCACAAATAGGTTGTCTTCTATGCATCTTCTTGTTCGAAAACCGTTCTGCAGCTCTCCCAGCACTTCTGTTTCCTTGGCCTATTTGTGCAGCTTCGTTCTGATAATCTGAGTGCACATTCTGTAAAGCACTGATGTGATGCTGATTGGCCGGTAGTTACCGAGATCAGCCTTTTCGCCTCTTCCCTTGTACAACAGCTTCGTTCTCGTTTCTTTCCATGTCTCCGGTACTTGGCCATCCGCGAGGATCTCTTTGAGGTATTCGGCCACCAAGGCTCGCATTCTCGGTCCCAGACCCTGAATAAGTGACATGGGGATCCCGTCGCTTCCCATTGCAGAAAAAAACACGCCCCAGACAGTGTTGGCAGACTGTCTTTTGCATGATGCATGAACAGTGTGTCTGGGGCCCTAGATGGCGAAATAGGGGGAGGGGGGGGGGAGCGGAATCTGGTACATTAAATATAAATATTGGGTCTCATGGGCAAGGATGTCACGAACTTTTGTCGCACATCGAGGTTGAGCTGGTTCAGCGAACTCTCGAACTTTTGGCGAAATTGAACGAAGTTTCACGTTTGAATAGTGTCCGATTTCTGCACAAAAATGTCAAATTTAGAGGAAAAACAAATAGAACGATGATTGGTCGGTCGTGTTGGAATTGTCGAACATTTATTTACACAAAACAAAAGGCAGCGGAAATACAGAAAAAAAAAAGTGCTGTTGCATTTTGATGAGATTCCTACTTCCTTCTCCTTACAACCCAGCTCCGTACAACACATCAGCAAAATTGTAGTGCAAAAGTCAAACTCAATGAACTCCTACAACGTGAGACCTGTTTAGAACAATACCAAACACAACTAATAAGGACGCTATCCTCATTTTACTTCACCTTCTAATATATTTTTTTTTATATTCCAAAACGACATAACTTTAGCGTAATGATTAATAATGTTTACATACAAAAGGTAAACAGAGACTTTAAAAGTATTCGTAAGTTCTTCATAAATAATCCAACCATCTTGCATGATGTGGCGTCAGGTCGTTTTCACTATTTACTCATCCGCATAAACTTTAGTCAATATTTTGTTTGCGCATTTTGCGTTAAACTTTCGAAACATTTCAGCCTTGTTGAACACAAACCTCGGTAGGTTCGTGACATTCCTAATTCTAGAACAGTTTAAGCGGACAAAATCACTCTACAATGTTTTGTTTTCTTACTCTCGGAGCATTTCCTGGAATTCATTGCAGTACAGCCTTTCTCTTACTTTGATTGGTCCTTTTCCCAATTTACGGATCGTGCGATGGGGTGATTGAATTAATGTAACAAAGCGTTGTAAAGTATTCGCGAGTCTTTTAAAAGAAGTTCCTCGAGTATTTGCACCAATAATTTAACTACGTTTATTTTTTTTCGTGCAGGTTTTTGAAGCTTCATCGAGCGACGAATACAATCTGGCTACGCCGTACTCGTCAATCGAATTGTTTTACAACTATACACTTGTATAAATCGCAATAAAAATGTATAAAATGTATTAGAGTGACCGCTCAAAGTTATTGCATGCATATTTTATTGTATTATTTTTAGTCGCCTGTCCACATCTCCAAACGAATGTCATAAGTAAAGATGTTTTCAACTTATTACTCCTTATTTGTTTGACGGCAGGTAAACGCGTACAAACGTCACTGTACCAACGATCAGGGACCGAAGACAAGGAAGTGGGGCACAGACGCATTGAAAAGGGGGAGCTCGTGGCAAGGAGCTCGTGGCCGGAGAGCTCGTGGGCGGTGAGCTCGTGCCTCGGAACCAACCTTACTAGATTACCACAGTTGTGGAACTCCCGCGGGGGGGGGGGGGGGGGGTACACTCTTTCGCTTACCTCAGTCCGTCGTTCGAAGCACCATTTAGATTTTTGTTTACGAGCTGTGTGTTCCATAGAGCACGGCTCTGTTATAGGATAAGGAGCCCTCATACACTTTTGCCACGCCTGTCTAGGGTGGCGGCATCTCGGCCATTTCTATGCCCAGAATGCACGCGCTTCGATCTCGTTCGGAGCGAGCGCTTAGCTCTGCCCGGTGCTTTGACGCCATTTTAAGTCCCATTCGGCACGCGCAGGTAGTTTCAAATACAACGATGGGTGTCTTAACCCTATGACAGACGCACACTGAGGCACCCTACCATAGGGTACGGTGGAGCTCCATCTTGACGCTGCGCTTTGAAATGTACGTCATCCACAGAATACACTGCAGTTATCAAAGCAGCCGTCCGGAGCGTCAAACAACGGGAGGCGAGTTGTGCACTCTAAGAAATGCCTGCGCGTCTACTTACCCGCAAAACATCCAAAGAAACATTCCCTGCGACCTACGAAATCAGCTCAGCCAATCATGAGGCGGGACGTCCGTTTATACCTAGAAATAAAATCTGCGCTGTGACATTACGCAATGCAAGGCGTCATGCTTGCATTGCGTAATGCCACAGCACAGACTTCGTTTCGAGGTCTAAACAGATGTTCCACCTCATCATTCGCTGAGCTGATTTCGTAGACCGCAGAGATTGTCTCTTCGAGTGCTTTGAGGGTAAGTAGACGAGCAGGCGTTTCTTTGAGGGTGGTGAGTGAGGGGGGGGGGGGCGGTAATGTTCGGGCATGTAGCGTCTATGTTGCAGTTCCGTAAGTGAGCTTATCTAATAGCGTTGCTCGGAATAGATGAGATGGGCACGTCAGATCAAACTGCTTTAGTGCGTCTGTATAGTGTAATTAAATATTTGCTTTAACGTAACCAACGAAGACTACCAGAAGTTTCTAGATTGGGTGCCGAAACCCTGGATGTAACGACTCAACGAAGGGAATCTAGTAGACCGAAGCAATAGCTATCGAACGACAGAAGCAAGGAACATTTCATCGAGACAAGACGCAAAAGATCATGGACGTCTTCAAGAAACAACGAGGACATTGCGAACGCAAGTAACAAAACTCCTCAGCGAGACAGAGGATTTACTTCTGCTGACTTCGGCTATCATCGATGATCTAGAGATTTTGATCGAGTGCTTAAGCCTCGCTCTGGATCAACTCAGTCACGTAGATGCCGCGATCGAGTCTTTGATTACCGAAAGAGACGCAGAAACGAAGTTAACGCAAGTCATAGACTATACCGACAAGATCGTCACATGCCTCACGAAGCTCAAAAAGAAGGCGAAGGGCGTGGAAAACAGCCAACAAGCATACGGTTCCTCGAAAGACGACAGGAGAGCAACACCGGTAAAAGCGAAAGTCAAGCTGCCGAAGTTAGAACTTATCAAGTTCAACGGCCACCGAAAGAATTGGCAAGCATTCTGGAAGCAGTTTGAAACCATAACCAACGAAAATCCGGAACTGACTCCATCGGAAAAGTTTAATTACCTGATATCGGCGCTTACCGGAGATGGATCAGCTGCCATCCAGGGACTATAGCCAACCGCTCAGTACTACGCGGAAGCGATCGATTTCCTACAGCAGCAAGTCGGCAAGCAAGAGGCTCTGGTACATGACCACATGAAACGTCTGATGGACATCAAGAAGGTACCCCCACAGGGCAATGCCCGAGCCCTGCGTCGTTTGTACGACAGTTTTCAGGCGCACATTCGGGGGCTTAAAGCACTGGGTGTGGGCGAGGAATCCTATTGCGCTATGCCCTATCGGGTACTTCTGCGAGCACTGCCGAGGGACATGACCCTGGAGTACAACCGGAAGAAGTCGTCGGAGGACACCGGGAACGCCATGCAGCGACGGGCGCCGGTCCGGAGGCTCGAACAGAGAACGTTCACCCGAGAGCTCTACGGAGTCTACTCAAATTTATTCGAGTCGAGGTGGAGAGCCGAGAAAGGACTTCAGAGAAACAACAGGACGACTTTGACGGTCAGCCTGCAATTCGTTTCGCTAAACAAGAGCTGCCGAAGAAACTCTCAAACTACACGAAGCTTCGAAACTCTACCGCGGGGCTTTGCATGGCAGGATTAAAGGCTTAGAATGTATGTTCATCAAATCCAAAGAACACGCCACAACTGATTGCGACGCCAAGATTGAGCTCACTGAGAAAAAAAAAATTAAGATTAAAGGTTGACACCAGATGCTTTCGGCACCATGACAGAACAGCACACGACATAACAGCACGCGACAAAACAGCACGGTCAAAACAGCACGCGTCAAAACAGCACAGCGTCAGAACAGCACGGCGACAAAACAGCGCGCGTCGAAATAGCGCGCGACAAAACAGCACAGCGTCAAAACGGCACAGCGGCAGAAGAGCACGGGCCAAAACAGCACGGGCCAAAACAGCACGGGCCAAAACAGCACGGCGTCAAAACAGCACGACGTCGATACAGCACAGCGACAAAACAGCAGAGTTTCAAAACATGACATTGACAATATAGCTAGGGTTCACCGTTTTCGGTTTGTATTATTTGAAATTCCGCGCACTTTTTTCGGTTTTTATTCCAAACACAAGTTTTCGGTTTATTGCGGTGAATATTTCTAGACTCATAAACTTCTCAGTTGTATTAGCTAGGTCTATTGGCGAAAACCAGTATACTAACGAAAATGCAGTAATTAAAAGCGTTTGTGTAAAATGTATATTGAGTTCCAGGTACTGGTCTTCTTATTTGTTGCCGTCTTTGGCAGCCGACGCGACCTGTTGTGTAAGACGCACTGGGGCCTGATCGTGATCTAACATTATCGTCGTGTGCTCGTATTTGTACAGAGGACGAGCATGAGCTTCAGTACCCCTTCGGTCGGAGAGGCAAATGTCAAAATGCAAAAATTAGCAAGCATTGTACTCGTTGCGTTTTCCCCGATTTTCACGACTGCGAGAGGTAATAAATTCCCGCCGACGCCAGAAAACACAATAAAACACTCGTATTTATGCCCTCCGCTAGTAGACGGATCTAGGGGTGTTAAACAATGCGCGGCATATACAAACGCTCTTCATTTCCGTTGTTCGATTTCACGATTAAACTCTCTTCTTTTAACAAAGAATTCGGCACACATCCTTATCAGGTCAAAAACCCAGATTTCGTCCTGAAAACCCATGCGCCCCCGGGGCTTTTGTTGAAAGTTGGAGCGATCTCACAGATAAGCTGAAAACTGCGAAAGGAAGTGGTCATATGGTCAGTAATGACTAGGGTTCCGTGTTTTCAGAGTTTAGTTTTCGTCAAGTTCGGAGGGTGTTTTTCTGAGTTTATTTTTTGCCGAAAATTCGGAGTTTATCAAAGTTTATTTTTGTTTGATTCCGAATGCTCCAAAATTCGGAGCTCAATGTCGCAGTGTTTCTTATTAAAAGTAAACAAATAATATCCAAATGTACACGTTTGCTGGACAGAAAAGGAAAAAAAACGCGATTGTATCAATTAATTTTTTTTTCAGTTGGATTTGGCGTTGGTGCCATAACGACTGACAATACTAATTTGTCCTAGAACAAAAGTGGCACACAAGTGTTATTTCGATAAATGTCGATACCTTAAAATTAATAACCTACTGGAGGTAGTCTCTGGGAAGTCTGTATTCATTCCATGCTATTCCATCAACCTATCACACGGCCGCAAGAGGTAGAGTGGAAAAGGATGAAGTAGAGAAGTTTCAACTGTCCTCTCCCCCGCTTTATGTAATTTCTATGGTCCATAGCTTTCACGGTTACAAAAACACAGCCTCTCCTTCCTCTCAGGCACAAATAGTATGCCCAAACCGGAAATATAAACAGTGACTTTTGTCTTGACCCGATAGTACAATGACCTGTTGTCCTGAACGAAATTTGAAAGATATGTGTGGTGGCATTTTCCCAGGACCATTTACTCTACGCGCTGATTCAATCATTAATTGTAATATATATTTGTGTGTGTGTGTGTGGGAGGGGGGGAAGGGGAAGGGGATTGGCACATCGGAATTCTGAATTTATCAGATAAATCTGAATAGACGAAACCTTTACCGGGTCTTTTTTTTTTTTCCAATTTATCCGAAAACACGAAACCCTAGTTATGAGTCACAATCCCCCCCCCCCCCCCCACACACACACACACACAAACACACACCACTCCAAACGCCCTAAAAATACTGAACTCTTTCAGTTAAGACAATATTTGGAAACATGAATTCGGCGTACTTTTACCGGTTATATTCGGTTTAACCCGAAAACCCTGAACCCTAAATATAGCGTTTAAAGTAAAAAAATGCACGTCTCAAATAAGGCACTGTAAAGGAATTGAGCTTCTAGGCCAATTCGTCGAAAGCAAACTTGTCGACGGCCAGTTTTTCGAATCTGTTTTTTTTGGAAACAAGTTCGGAGTGGGGAGTATACTCGATGCGCGCATGACGGTTCCCTGAGCAGTACCGAAGCCCCCCGCTGGTGCGTATTCTGTCTATGTTGTTGCGTGAGCTAGACTGGCCGAGGTTGAGCAGTTTCGCGTGGCTCGCATAAGGAGCCGTGCTCCGTGCTGCGCATGCGCGAGGAGCAGTGACGTCACACGGCGCACAGCTGGCGCGCCGGGGCCGCCGCCGCGCCCACGTCG